GGTGTAATTGAAAGCTTCACAGTATTGCAGCGTGTTAAATCACACAGCACAGAAAAAAACTTGAAAATAAAAACACCTTAATATGGAAGCCTGTTTCCACCACTGAAAAATAAAAATAATAATAAAAAAGATAATTGCGACTTTTTATCTTGTATTTGACTTTTTTCTTGCAATTCTGAGAAAAAAAGACCTTTTTAAGCGCAATTGCGACTTACAGTCGTGGTCTGAATTATTGGCACCCTTGGTAAATATGATCAAAGAAGGCTGTGAAAATAAATCTGCATTGTTAATCATTTTGATCTTTTATTTAAAAAATTCACATAAATCTAACCTTTCATTGGAGTATAAGAATTTAAAATGGGGGGAAATATCATTATGACATAAATGTTTTTCTCAAATACACGTTGGACACAATTATTGGTACCCCTAGAAATTCTTATGAGTAAAATATCTGAAGTATATTCCCATTCATATTTACAATTTTGCGCATACCAGGGTGATTATGAACATGAAGTTATCCAGCCATGGCTTCCTGTTTCACAGGAATATAAATAAGAGGGAAAACAAAGGCCAATTTCCCTTAATCATCCATCACAATGAGAAAAACCAAAGAATATATTTCTGATGTGCAGCAAAAGATAATTGAGCTTCACAAATTAGAAAGTGACTTTAAGAAAAGAGCTAGAGCAGTGAAAATTCCCATTTCCACCATCAGGGCAATAATTAAGAATTTCCAATCAACAGAAAATGTTACAAATCTGCCTGGAAGAGGACGTGTGTCTATATCATCCTAATGCACACTGAGGAGGAGAGTTTGAGTGGTTAAAGACTCTCCAAGGACCACAGCTGGAGAATTGCAGAAAATAGTTGAGTCTCAGGGTCAGAAAACCTTAAAAAAAAACAAAAACAAACAGCACCTACACCACATGTTGTTTGGAAGCGTTTCAAGAAAAAAAATCAAGAAAAGAAAATGCTCTCATCCAAAAACAATCCCCAGCATATTCTGTTGTCAGACACGACTGGAACTTCAAATGGGACTGGCTTCTATGGTCAGATGTAACTAAAAAATTAGCTTTTTAGCAACAAACACTCAAGATGGGCCCTCCCTTTGGGACTTCATAAATTGCAATTGCGAGTTTATCTCACAATTCTGAGGAAAAAAAACAAAAAAATTGCGAGATAAAAAAACTCAGAAAGTCAGAATTTTTTTTTTTTTTTAATCTCGGAATTCTGACTTTATTTCTTGTAATTGTGAGTTTATATCCCGCTATTCTGACTTTATAACTCACAATTGTGAGTTTATATCACACATTTCTGAGGAAAAAAAATAAACTCTTGAAACTTGCTAAATAATTGAATAAATCGGACCAGCATGTACTTATTTTTACATTTTTAAAATGTAAATGTGTTGTGTTTTATGTTTTAATACAAATGTATTACCAAAAAACAGTGGCTATCAAATGAATGCATAAAACTTCATATTTTAAAATGTAATCAAATGAAAACAATTCCTTTTAAATGTACAATACCTTTTAAACTAACAATACCTACAGAAGTTTACTGTTCAAAACATGGACAAAAAAGTATTGTGTGAAAGCAGTCTTTTTCAGGTTAATATTCACAGACACTAGATACTGCGATTTGGTTCATAGTACAGCCCTACTTTTGATTTACTTATCCAAAGTTTGGCAAATTCTGTGTCGGACAAGTACTGTAGTTGAATTTAAAGACATTATTGTGACATTATTATTTCACCTTCTCTAAGGTGGTTAAAAAAAGTAATATACTGCAAGGCTATTTGTAACAGGAAGTATTTATTAATTGTGCTACATGTCTTGGAGGGGAATGAGGTGATCCATTTTTACCAGAACATACAGTATGACTCATATAATGTGAGTCAGCAAATCCATACCTGCTGACTACAAATTTATCTTGTGACCAAATGTACGCTGCCAGTTTGGCCCCTGTTTTCTATCTTTCACCTGAGCTGTGACTGAACCAGCATCAACATAACACTTTCCAGGCATTATTTCATTCATGATTCTATAGAAATCATACCTAAATTCTAAATATGGTGCTCAATAAATATTTCTTATTATTATCAATACTGGAAATGGTTTCTTTTGTAACATTATAAATGCCTCACTTTCAATGATAAATTTAATGCATCCTTGCTGAATAAAAGTATTAATTTCTTTAAAAAAAAAAAATACGGACCCTAAACTTTTGAACAATGGTGTACATTTTATTATTTATTACTTAATGACTTAAATAATAATTACTTATTATTGAATACTTACATTTTATTTTATTGAAACATTTGACTTTTATATTAAAAATATTTAAATGTACACAAACTAATGAGCCGTTAAACAAATATACTGAACATTACATACTGTTTGTTAATGATCAGCTGTCACCAATTCATCTTTGCTCACTGATTTATTCATGTAATATCCTTTCTTCAAGTGTGAATTATTAGATTTAAGCCATGAACTGTATATTATCACATGCAGCAGTGCGGTGGGTTGTTCATATGCGTGCTGATTGATTAAAAAAAAGCATCTTATGCTGTATATGCCATCTTACACAGGTGGTGAAGTCCTCTATTCAGCACAATTCGTAAGGAGAGTGCTGTTGCACAGCAGAGATCTTTGTAATATTTTCCATTTTCCTCTCACGGAAGGCGCGTACTCTCATTGACTCTTCAACCTAAACACCGTCCTTCAACATGGTGATGCACTCAATTTATTCACTGAAAAAAAAGCAGCATTCTGCTGAATTTGTATTTCTGAGGGAAGCTGATGAGGAGGGGGAACATTCACTATATCAGGCTAACATCTCAACAATGGGAATGCCACAATGATGAATGAGACAGTGGTTTTAAGGCCGGCTGCCTCAGAGGCAGATACATCAGCAGCTGGAGCTGCCTCAAAACATTTTTTCACTGATTAGGGACGCAAATATTGTGTCATTATAGCCAATAATCTTTTTGTGCTCTCACACTGATGCATTCATATGTTCAAATATCCTTGTGAAATTGCACAACAGTAAAAGCACAGGTTATTCACATATGACAAAGGACAGTTTTGACAGCTTGACAAAAACCGAGGCACCAAAACCATGTGGTGTCCAGTTATCTCTCACCAGGCAGATTAACTCATCTCTCTCCCAGCAGATGGACATATCATTTCCCTAATGCGATGTGTCTCTGGACCACATGGACCTCTCTCAGTTAACACACTCTTCCAATCCAACACTCAAAAGCATTAGCTAAAAGATTATCCATGAGAAATGAAAAAAAAAATAAATCAATCAATGGCGCACAAATAGCAAGTAGATGCAATATGTATTTTTGTAACATGGATATGCCATTTAAATGTGCATCAGTGAGGGGAGCAGCAAAAAATTATTTAAAAGTTAAAGAATAATTTTAAAAATTGTCATTATTTACTGAATTTAAAAAAAAAACTGTATATATTGTAGAATGACTAAGCTGCTCTTTTCCATACAATGAAAGTGAATTGAGAGTGATTTTCAAAGCAAGATTATTAGTGAATCTCAATTTGAATTTGTTCTGTTCCTCACACAAAGCTATTGTATATCTTCTGAAGACTTAGAAAATAGTGCATGAGTCAAACTAAATCTAGTTAGAAAAATCTTTCTTCACTACTTTCACTGTGACGAAAAGAGCAGCTTGAATATTCCGCTGAAATTCTCTTATTCCATGGAAGAAAGTAAGTAAAGAATAGTTAAAAAATAAACTATTCTGTTCTTCTGGTCTGTTCTCTTCACGCAAAGTTATTGAAGAGCTTCTGAAGACTCAAAAAATAGTGCACATGTTAAACAAACTACTTTTATAATAATTTAATGGTGGTTTTTGGGGGCTTTCACACCGGACAAACCTTTTCATTGTTCCTAGTACTATTGGCACAAGTACCCGCTTTTTGGTGTATTCGCACAGCAGGAACTAGGAATGGTTTTAGTTCTAGGAACTCCATTTGGAGGAACTAAATTAGCTCCTACTTCAGAGTAGGGTCTAAAACAGTTCTATAGGAACTACCAGTGACGTAAGTGTCTGTTGCTTACATTGGCCAAACGCATACAAAACACCGGCTACCCGGTGAAGAAGTAACCTTCTTCACCGCTGAACCCATGTCTTGTTTTTATGTGGGGTATCAGAGTTCTAACCTGTAAAAGGAGTTAGATTGCGTTATTGATGTTGGTTTTATTATGGTTATATTTAATGCAGTTTGTTTGTATAATGTTTGTTTCTTTCCAAGGCTACATTATTGTGAATTAGCTTAATGTAGAAGACAATGTACCTGGTAAAACATACCTGGTGTGCCCAAAAAGTGGGCGGAGTCTGGCCTTTATAAGCCTCAGCCAGACTCCAGTTGGTTGCTTATTCACCAAGTCAAAGCAAGCGTGCTACTGCGGTGCCGTGAGCTGAAAAACCTATTTTGTACGGTGTGGATACTTTTGTATATATTTGGATACTTATATATCTTTGATTTATTTATTTATTTTTTTGGTTGCTTTGGTACTTTGTATTTTTTTTAGTTTTTTGTTGGGACTGTTCACTTGTAAATGATTCTTCACGGTTGGACTATTGGACTTTCGGTGCACCTGTAAATAAACATCACCATACTCTAAAGAGTACTTGTGGGTTGAGCCATCCTTTTTTTCCCTATTGGACCTTAACACGCCCACAGTAGACCCTGTCAAAAGTCTAAGAAAAAACACCTTTCACTCAAGGACTCCAGAAAGGCCAGCAGGATGTAAAAAACATGGTATATGCACAAATGTGTTGCCATATTAATGCTTTACTCAATCCTCGCATTGATTTATTTTACCCAAGCAAAAGGGCCAGTGTTGCTCACCAATTTATAAATGTACCCAGTGGAGCTTCAGATGAAATCGTCACCCTCATAAGTACGACAGACATATAAAGATGGTGTTTTCACTGAGCTGTGGACTGGGAAGGAGCTCTGTCTTACCTTGGTAATTGCAGATGTCTCCCACGCTGTTCTGACGCGTGATGTGGTGCCAGTAAGCGCTTCGCGGGAGAGATATCGACTTTGTTAATGTGCTCTCGTTTGAAAGAGTCTGTGAGGCAGAGCAGAAAATCATTGGGTTACATTGGTTATATTTCCAGTCAAATCATTCGGAAAGGGCTTACGCTGACAAGATTTCAAAGACCGAGACTCTCCGGTAAACAGCACCCCTCCATTAGGCTGTTTTGATCATTACAGATGACAGGTGGAGTGTGATGTCATTACAGCCTTTTAAAAAGAGCATTTATCACAGCATTTTAAGAGAATTTCGTAAATCCAAAACCAATAAAGACTCTTAGCGGTACTCTTGATCAAGATTTCAGAGCGAGCAGCATTTTTGGCAGGGGTCCTGGATGGCGAGATCTGAGCGGAGGGCCATATGGTCAAGTCTCATCAGCCTCCACTAAAGGCCTTAGAGATGACAGCACAGATTCACTGCCAGCAAGGCAGAGGCGCAGTTTAAATAGCGCAGGAAAGACCATCCGCATCATGCGACTGAACGATTCATCAGCCTCGCTAGCTTCAGGGGGTTCAGAGAAATAACCAAAATGTGCTTTCAATGACACGTTGATAGCCAAAATGGTAGGATAACATTTTAAGGCATTAGTGTTCAGAAGCTTTGAACACTGAAAAACTCCTGAGGCTGTTATTTCTGTCGTTATCTTGCAACTAAGATGTGTCTCAAATCCATTTACATTTACATTTTATTCAAAGCGACTTCAATTGCATTGAAGGTATGCGTTTTATCAATATGCACATTCTTGGGATTCAAACTCTTGACCTTGATGTTGCTAACGTCATGCTCTACCAGTTGAGCTATAGGAACACATAAGTGCAGCATTTCTGAAGGTACTCGAACAATAGTGCAGTTCAGGATTAGTTGACAGCAGCTGCTTTTCAAAGATGCCAGTGTTCTGTGACCTGGATTTATGAAACATCACATACTGTGTGCACTGTGCAAGCAAGGAAGCGGGAAAACATACTTAGAAAACTGGCAGAATCTTAACAGGGAAGCTGCAGTCCTGATATTTAATTACTGTATATTGTGCTGTGATAAAAGGTTGATTTTTAGGCTATCTGATCTAAGGTAATAATTAGTGCTGTCAAAATTAGCGCGTTAACGCATGCAATTAATTTTTCCAGTTTAACGGCGTTAAAAATATTTAAAGGGGTCATATGATGCATATTTCAAGTTTTCCTTTCTCTTTGGAGTGTTACAAGCTGTTCGTGAATAGATAAGATCCCTAAAGTTGCAAAGACTAAAGTCTCAAACCCAAAGAGATATTCTTTATAAAAGTTAAGACTAGTCCACGCCCTCCTAAACGCCTCGTTTAAACACGCCCCCACATGTCTACATCACGATGTGGGAAGATTTGCATAACACCGCCCAAATGTTCACGCAAAGAAAGAAGGCGTAACTTTATTGTTGCTGCCACCGCCACCGCCATGTTGTGAAGACGCTGTGTGTTTCGTTGTGAAAGCGAAAATACTTTGTTTGGCCTTCCAAAAGAGGACACGACTAGAAATCAGTGGTTAAGTTGTATTTACAACACTGTTCCAGAACAGTTCAACCCAAATATACAGATGTGTCCAGCGCATTTTATGGAGGACTGTTTCCTGATCCTGGTAGAGTAGATTACAATGACGGTTGTTCTGACTCACAGACTGTAAGTACGTTTTCATATTTAAATAATTTGTCACTGATGATTCAAACGTGAGCTTTGAGCAGTGTAGAGTAGCGCCTGTTGTTTGCTGTTTCTCCGATCACAAATGCAGACACGGTTTTATGTTTGCGCGGCGCGATGCAACGCAACGCGTAAAATGTACCCTGTAAAATTATGGGACGTCTACTTTTACTATACCTGTGAGCTCTTCTCCATCTCCATCATCATGCGTTCATGTTGCTCAGCAATGGACAGTGTGGCAGAGTGAACTCTCTGATAGATCATCTCGCCTTCTCTGGTCTGGAACGTGAACAAACCCTCCCCTGTATCACACATCCTGTAAGAGCACAACACACACACACACACACATCCGTTAAGCAATTATAGCTTCTATTAGTTTTCAGTACACTCATGTTCTTGTCGTAATAGGCTGAACAGTAAGAGTAGGCTTTAAAGGCAGCCTGCAAGGGAAAGCATATGTTAAATGCTGAGCACCATCATGAATCAGCGAATCAATATCCAGAGCAGCAGAATCAGGACTATTTGATTTATGATGAAAACATCTTGTCAGACAAAAGCACTCCCAACTAGAATCGAATGTCGTTCACACACCTTCCAGACTCAAATGTGAACCAGGTCGAGTCTCTGCCGTATCTCCTCAGGGAGTTGAGCGGCCACGTGACCAGCTTGACTCTGGCATTATGGATGTCCCAAAGGTAGATGTTCTCGTGGGTGATCTGCATTGTGCACTCTCCGTAGATGTCCAGATTTGGGGTCGGCATCAAGTAAACATGAAATCTTTCTGGAATAAAAAAAATAAATGTAAAAGTCATAAGTACTATAGTTAACTAAAACCAAAAAAAAATCCTCACTTAAATTACATTTTAAAATTGATCCAAATAGAAAAGAGTTTTAAATTGTAATTATATTTCACAATATTACTGTTTTTGATCTAATAAATGCAGCCTTGGTGACAGTGTTGGGGAAAGTTACTTTTAAAAGTAATGCATTACAATATTTTTATATGTAATAAATGTCATATTTAGCTACCTGTGCCCTTCAGCAAGTAGAAAATATACAGAAATTGAATAAAGTTATCTCATCATTCCTCATTTTAATTAGTTAAACTAGATGTACTAAAATAACTAAAACTGAACTAAAAGCTGATAAAACTATATAGAAATGTATATAAAAAAAAATAAAAAAAGACAAAAACACACAACAAACAGACCAAAACTTTAACATTTAAAATTAAAATGGAAAATAGAAAAATAAAAAGCGGATTCAAAATTTTAATAAATTTATAATTGTATCTCAATAATACTAAAGTAAGTATCGCAGATTGGGTTAAAATAAAATAAAATAAAATAATAAAATAAAAATACTTGAAACCATTGTATAAATTAAAATTAAAAACTTAATTTGATCTCTTCAGATGCAGAAAGCTTTGAACAAAGAAAAACTCTTGAGGATGTGAGTGTATTTGTAATAAAATAAAATATAATAAAATGTCAAAATATTTCATTTTAGCTATTAATGAAAATAATAATTATATAATATTTAATTAATTAATTAATAAAAAATTTAATTATATAATATAATATTATTTATGATGTATTAAATATTTATTGAAATTGTGTTCACAACACAATTTATTTTACATCTGTACATGTGACATCTTTACAAATATTTAAATGGAGGGGAAAAAAATAGATCAGTAGTAGATAGTATATAGTAGATAGTAGTTTTTTTCCATTGGCAAATTGATTCGATCACTAAAAGTAGCTTTTATATATCAGATTGGAGCCATGAAGCTGAAGGGGTTTTTGCAAAAGTGACATTTTAAATAATAAAAACTCTAATAATTAATTATTTAAGGAAGTAAATGAAGTAAATAACTCAAAAAGGTTCAGCAACAATAGCAGCTTACACTGACAGAAATTACCAATGTTTTATGTTAAAGAAAATTCATAACAGGGTAAATAGTTTCTTTAACAGATATGAAAAGGTTGCAGACTGCTGTTTGATCAACATTTCTTTTAATAATAATTAAATTTGCTTAAAAAAGGGCAACCACTGTGGCGGTACAGTCCATTCAGCTGTCATATTTACAGACATCTCAAACAGCTTTTATTTGAGCAGCTGAAAGATTCTGCTCTGCCTAAAGATGACAGAGAATTAAAGGGTACGGCTGGGAATCTCGAGCACATCTCAACAGTGCCATCTAACATGATTATTATTTTTCCGACGGACTATTTTCTCTTCTTGCAGATACGGCTCTTGCAGTGCACAAAGGTCAACAGATTGTTGCCATAGAGCCGCAGTTGAGCCAACCACGACTGGAGTAACCACACCATCACAATTATCTCCAAAAAGACAAGGGTGTACTTCATAATCCAAATTAATAGTGCCTAATTATACCTAATGCTTCAAAATAAGCTATGTGTCTCTCCGGAGGAAGAGGCAATGTAATGTGGGGGCTATTTTAGGGATTGTGAAAATTAACTCTGATTTAATTATCGCAGCCCGCCGTTAGAGGGGTCTAATTGAAGCGCAAATGGCAAACTCTCTGCTCGTTATTCCTCAGCTGTCGAACAGTGGAGAAACGATCATTTTGCTGACCTCCAGCTGATATAATCATATACACATTGCGCTCTCATTATGAAAACAAATCAATATTTGCCTGTCATTTGATTGAAAAAAATTTGATGATCACTCTATACGGTGTCTGCCGCAGCTTAATGCTTGAATGCTTCGCCAGCACTTGGAGATGAACTGGTATTGATTTTCTGAATTATGTTTAAAAAAAACACTCACATAAACACAGACACAACTCAGGCCATCTCAGACTGAAACAGTCTGATCTGGGAGGAGATGCAGTTGCCTTAAAGCAACGGTTCTCAACGTGTGGGTCAGGACTGTTTTTATAGTCACAGAAAACATTATATTCAATATAAAATCTCTCTGGAATAAAAAGTCATAAGCACTGCAGACTAGGGTTCTATTTTCCCACCGGTTAATCGATGTGTGACAACACTGGTAATACCGGTATCACCGTGGGGGTGGGGGCGTTCCCTCTTTTCCTCGCTTTCCTTCGCTTTTAAATATCTTGTAAAAACGGCGTGCGCATTTTACTTTCACTTTCAAACCGTGGCAATTCGGCGTAAAGCAATTGTTCATTTTTAGTTCGTTTGAATTTTCCCTCGTTTCCTCGCTTTCCTTCTCTTTTAAATAGCTTAAAAGCGCCGTGCGCATTTTACTTTCACTTTCGAATTAGCAGCAGTTCGGCTTGAATTGCTTGAATGCATCAACAAAATACAACGTCAAACTCACTTTAGCCTATATATAAACATAGAACTTTTATTAACAAAACAAATAAAAATACACCATGCTATAGGGCAGGCTATGCCTAATATAAAATAACAAATAACTTACATAAAGTTTAAATAGGTATACAAAACTGGAAATAGGCTAAGTAAACATGTATAATATATAACCAAATAAATAAGAAACGTTTGTAACATTACCGGTATCACCGTCAGCACCGTCTATCGCGGCAAGCCTACTGCAGACTGGGGGTTTGTTGGAATAAAATAAAATAAAATATAAAATAAAATAAAATAAAATAAAATTTCTAATTTGATATTATAAAAAGAAATACATTTGTTGTTTTAACTATTTGCAATAACAACATGCAAATAACGTGACAAGATAATATATAATATATACAGTGGGTACGGAAAGTATTCAGACCCCCTTCAATTTTTCACTCAATATAACAAAGAGTGAAAAATTTAAGGGGGTCTGAATACTTTCCGTACCCACTGTATGTCTAATAAACTATAATATAATATGTTTAAATTCAATAATGCTTCAAGATTGTTCTTATAGTCTTTATTTAATATAAATAAATATTAAATATTTGATATTATATAGTTTTTATATTTAATATAAAATTGAATAATAAATATTTGTATATTAAATTATTAAAAATAATGAAAATATATGTTATAAATTTCCATACACTAAATATTATATATTTATATATAATGAAAAAATCATATAATTTTTTATATATTTAAAAAAAAAGAAAACTATCCATATAAGCATGAGTAGTTAATCTTTTTTTTTTTTGAGGATAAAACATTCCTCGTATCTTTTTTGTTGTTGAGCAAATGCTCATTTTGCTGTATTTTGATGCAAATTCACCTGTCGCTTGGTAGAAACTAGCCAAAGGCAGACACCAACAACAAATGCAAATGAATACTATTTATACTAATAATTTAATGTTTTTTTTTTTATTTTCGTTGTTGTTTATTGTACAGTGAACAATCCTGGTACTGTTTTGGGTTGTCACCTGATGTGAAGAGTCCTGAAGTGAAACCCTTTTAGACCCAGTGCTTTAATTTAGCCGTTTGGCCACACATTGCTTCATTCATTCCAGAAAGAAATGGATTGCATTCGCTAAAGATTCTCACTCATTCTCTTAAGCGTTTTCTCGCAGAGGTTCCACAAGCATTCATCCTGCTTTTCTTCTGCGCCATAATCTCATCCATCTCTATGACAAGCTTCATTATGGGCTGATACTCTGATGCACGGCGGTGCCCATTAGCGCTTAGTAAAGAACCTTGGCCCGAGCAGATCATTTATAAACATGAGAACAGACCTGGACGGACTGTGTTTAACAAACACATTTGGACCCTGTAATAGAATCATTTAGGGAGTACAAGAGGAAAAATCACGCAAAAAGCCGGGCTCTAATTGGATACTGACCGTTCTGTTCCCTCTGCACCCCTGCTGCTAACAAGTCCGGTTCTCCCAGGCTGATGTCATTAAGTCTGCTGCCCAGACACTCCAAACACAATAACTTCCACCACTCCTCGGCCTCCAGCTCTGTGGACGGACACACACATCCACAGCATCATTTTTATATGCAAACATACAGGAACAGCTGATGAAGAGACTGCAACAAGCAGGAGGAAAACACATTTACAGATTTAGCACTTTATTTAGCATTTAGTTGATGAGTCATCGACCACCTCAGCCTTTCTGAGAATATATTGAATGCTTTCTGCTTTAAAACTAAGCAGCCAGTAGTCAGACACAAAGATGGACAGACAGACATATAGAAGTGACAGACGGACAGGCAGATAAGACAGTCAAGTTCATAGGTGTGGACACAGTGTCTAAAAATACTCGCCGAGTGCCAAATGTGAGTAAAACCTGGCTGTCAACTAAAGAAAACAGAACTACTGACCATTTTTAAAAAGTGCAATGATGGAGGAAAGAAAGCCATACAGGTTTGCAACAGCATGAGGGGAAACGGTGACAGTAGTTTAATTTTTATGTGAACTTTACTATTTATTACAATCACACTATATAGGGTAAGATGGGGGACGATGCCCCGCTTAAGAACAAAGTGCATTTATTTTTAAATTGTAACCTATTTAGATATAAGCTAAGCATGTGCAGGATGACGATACATCAGACTATATGTTATTATTATGGGAAATAAATAGAAACATTTGCTGAATCAGGTCATTAAATCAAAAAGTAAAATTATTCAAATAAGCAACTGAGATACCTGGGGCAAGAAGCCCCCCTGGCTAAACTTTTATAAAATGTAAAAGCTGATATTAATTTGAATAATATTTGTACATTTTTTACAGTTTTATTAATGTAAAATGCTAAATCAATTATTCTACTTCAATTTTTCTTTTTGACAATTTAGTTGAGTAATTGATGAATCGAAGACAGACAAAGCAGAATCCCAGTAAAAAAAGATTAATCTGAAATGTACATTTATTCTTTGACGTTTATACAGGCATATGAATATTTACATATTTAATTGTCCATGTTTTAATTGAAGATATACCATTGCAACACTATGAATTCAAATTAAATGATTTCACTCAATTAGCCTATGGGTTGTAATGAAAAGCAAAGATGTCAGTAAAGTAATTAAAGAAATTACTGAATAATAGCCCTATGAATTGCAATAAGTATTAAAATGAAACATAATAACACTAGTAACAACATGCCACTTGGGGCCTTCTGTGCCAGTTCTGGGGGGTCATCTTTTATATTTTCACCTCAGAATAAATATCATTTTAATTATAATTACTCCACAAATATGAAAACATGAATGTGTCCACAAACCCCTCATTAACAAATAGATACAAAAAACTTTAATATTCAACATAATACAATGTCATAGATCACTATTTGTTTTGTTTGTTTGTTAGTTTTTGTTTTTTATTTTGTTTGTTTGTTAGTTTTTGTTTTTTATTTTGTTTGTTGTTAGTGTTTTGTTCTGTTCTGTTTTATTTTGTTTTGTTCTGTTTTGTTTTATTTTGCTTTGTTTCCAGAGACACTAAATTAGATCAATTAACCTCACAAATGTTGATGTTCAGATGAAATGACAAAATTTAGAATAGTGTGGACAATCATATATTCATTAAATGTGTAGGATTACATTCTGTGCCATCTATGTGCCATACACACACACACACACACACACACTATTTTAAATATTTAATATAAATAAATGATATAAATATTAATTATAATACATATAACTGAAATATATATATATATGTATAGTACAGTACATATGATCTGATGTGATATTTTACATAAAGTTAATGTTATATATTTACAGTTTCAGAAATATAAATAATGCAGAGTTTAATAGGCAGTTATTATTTAGTATTTAGGGTGGCACACTTTCTCAGTTTGCTCATCATTGGCAGGTGTAGCAATAGATATTCTGGCCCCTGTATGCACACAAAAGAACAACACAAATAGCATTCTGTAGGAGTTGAGCTTTTTATTTTTTATTTTTACTCTATTCTTCAAAAGCTCTGGGCTAATCTACAGCAGACTCTGAAGAGCATCATTCTAATGAGTGAACCTCACAAATCAACATCCACTCTGAAGCACCTCATGCAGTTTAGCACAATCACACAAAGGAAAGGGAGCACAAATTATGACTATATGCCAACTACAAAATGAGCTCGGTCTACACCGCTTCTGCATGTGACATGGGTTTGAAAGCTCAACATTATGAGATTAGATTTGTCTAATTACGTGCCAAGTAGTTGTTAGCAGATTCGTGACCTCGTCAAGTTTGCGTTTTCAGCTGAGCTTGTTTGAATAACAATGGCTGTCTGCTTGATGTTGCCCTAAGTATATTTCAGCTGTAGTAATTGAAGCCTAAAATGAACACTGTATGGCTGTTGACATTTTAATTTTGCCTGCTTGAGTAATGTGAGCAGGCACCATTCAAAATATTCAATTCAATGTGCCAAATGAATTTTTTAAAATAGTACAATAGACACTTATCAAATAATTTCACTCATAATACTGTGTAAATCATGCACAGAGATCCAAAAGCTGGGAAAAAACATAACGTCTTGAATTCTCTTTATCAAACTTATTAAACTCTCAAATCATTGTGCACATTTCCCCATTATTCTATACAAGCTTTTTGCTGGATTTTTTCTTTTTTTGCATGGCCTCTCTCCTGAGACGGTGACCTTTAAGTGTGTCTAAATTCACACACACTTTTGGGCCCACTGAGTGGAAAATTGGATAAACAAATACTTCATCAGCATGGCAAACTCTCAAGTGCTCAGGCAGCTATGTGCACAAACACAAAGATGCCCGGTGGAATCACAGCACTTTACAGCACAACATCTTCACATGGTTAATGGTTCACTCAGAGCACAGGAAATGAGAAGAACTACATGATAAATAGTTAGGAGCAAGAAAATGGGTCAGGATGGATGAAATAGATTAGGGCTGCAACAACAAATCGGTAATGGAAATAATTGACAATGAATTTCATTATTGATTAGTAGGATCTGTGGGCCCTGCTTGGAGGACCACGTCAGTGCAGCCACTTTAAAGAACAGTGAAAAATGCATTTACATGGAAGGGGGAAAATTAATTTAATTACAGTTTATCGCTTTATTCTTCAAAGGCAAGCATTTTCATTTGGCAAAGCAGAGCATACTAAGAGCAAGCAAGCAAGTATTTAATAGAGCTTTTATTTGGATCAAAGCAATATTCATTTAAACAACAAATTTAGGTTTTAAATGAATATTTACATTTATGCATTTGCCAGACGTTTTATCCAAAATGTTTTATATTACAAGGAATACTTTTTTTTCAGGTTTATGCATTGCCTGGAAATCAAATTCATGACCTTGGCATTGCGAATGCAATACTCTGCTGAATTTTTATATTATGAAAATCTACCATTCAAAAGTTTGGGTCAGTAAGATTTTTTATGTTTTTGAAAAAAGTCTCTCACCAAGGCAGCATTTATTTGATCAAAACTACAGTAAAATATGCAATACAATAAAAAAATGGTCAATTATTATTACAATTTAAAATAACAGTTTTAAATTCTAAAATATAATTGTGATAGGAAAGCTGAATTTTCAGCAGCCATTACTCAAGAAACATTTATTATTATTATCAATGTTGAAAACAATTGGGCTACATAATATTTTTGTGGAAACAATTATACTTTTTTTTTTCAAGATTCTTTGATGAATAGAAAGTTCAAAATAAAAAAACGTAAAAAATTACAAGTCTTTTCAGTCACTTGATAAATTTAATGTATCTTTGCTGAATAACATTATTTATTTATTTAAAACAAACTGTACCTCAAACTTTTAAACAGCATATTATTTTTATATTATTTTAGGGCTGATCATTTTTTAGTGCAAAATGTAAAGTGTTATTATTAGATATTAATTATTAAATTGAATTTGCAAATTGCTTGAAGCATTGAACAAAATGAGAAATCTTAATAAATAAATCATTTAAATCTACTTTAAGTTGCAGCCCTCATAGACACGATTATTGTAATAATGAGGGAGAGCGCGAGAGAGAAGAAAAGGGTCATAGCAGCACAGGCGTAACCCGACAGACTCAGAGGGAGGTGAGGAAGTGAAAGTGAAGGATCGAGGGAGGTCGAGTTCCTACATGTGGCGGACATGTGAGGGACACAAGCTCCATATGGCCGGAGTTTGTGAGAAAGGGGAAGTTCGAGAGGGGGTGGCTCGTGGACATGTACCTGTGCCAAAATTAAAAGAGCCACAAGCAGAGTTTACACACACACACACACACACACACACACACATATTTGCCCGAGGTCCACATTGACTCAAAGGTGATTTACTCCCACAAGGACAACAAGGTGATCTAATTCAGCAGGACACATTAGCAACAATCCAGCATAGAAAAGTCTTTGAACGTGTCACAGATACTGCTGAAGACTTCTTCATTTAAACAGCCTCAAGGCACGTATACTTTTTAAACCCTCAGTGTATGGCCATATCTCGCTCAGCTCTTCATTTATGCCCTATGCCCGCTCTACCCATTTCCCATTAATATCCTGCCTCTGAAGGGAGTGAAGGAGAGCTGGGGGTGGGAAGGTTATTATGGTAAATGGATTCAGGAGAACATTCCTCACCTCCCCCTGGCAGTGCGGAAGACCCCAGAGGTGCTAATGATATCCCAGCGGGTCCACCGTCCCGCTCTCCCCGTGCACATCCACTCCACTGCCTCTCCTTCCCGTCTCCTCCATTTCTTCCCCTTTCCTCCCTCTCTCTCCTCTAGTATCCTACCTGGGAATTCAGCTTGACAGGAAATTTGAAGGCGAAGGACAAATTCAGCGCTTCTTATGGTCAAAAGAGTTTTAATGAGTTTGTGACCATGTTTGCACACAATACTGTGGGTGGAAATCACTAAAAATTAATTAAACCTGCTGTTATTGGACTTGTTTTAGCAGCCATTTCACTAAAGTAATTATGAAAGTGAGGTAATGGTGCAAATACATCCACAAAATACTGCTGTATGTTGTAGACTGTGCAGGATGTGGAACTCTAAACCTTTTCATTATCATAACTATAATAGGGGGACAGTCTTACCTAACCACCCAAGCAACGGCATATTGATATCTTACGATTTTGCCATCTTGTACAAAATATTATGCATTGTCTTGAGAGTACACTCTTAAGTGTTCTTTACTGGAATCTATGGTTCCATGAAGAACCTTTAACATCAATGGAACTTTTCAACTGCACTAAAGTTTTTTTTTTAGTGCTGTCAATCGATTAAAAAGATTAAATAATTAATCTAATTAAAATAAACTATACTAACCTACTAAACTAAATAAAATAAATTAATTAAATTTGGATAAGACAGAGATATTACTTATTGGACCAAAAAACAGTACACATAATCTACTGTTTTGGAGGTAGTCCAAAATAAAGCTGCCAGAGTCCTTACCAGATCAAGAAAATATGATCATATTACCCCAATTTTACATTCTCTGCACTGGCTATTAAGTTCCGTATCAGTTACAAAATATTATTACTTACCTATAAGGCCCTAAATGGTTTAGCTCCTGCGTACCTAACTAGTCTTCTACCACGCTACAATCCATCATGCTCCCTAAGGTCGCAAAACTCTGGACTCTTGGTAGTTCCTAGCAAAGTAAAGGAGGTAGAGCTTTTTCACATTTGGCTCCCAAATTCTGGAATAGCCTTCCTGATAACGTTTGGGGTTCAGACACACTCTCTCTGTTTAAATCTAGATTAAAGACACATCTCTTTAGCCAAGCATTCACACAGTCTATCTCATAACCTTGTACTTCAGTTACATCTGATCAAATGCACATTAACATTCTTTTGCTTGGGTTGAACAGATCATTTTTTGCTTAGTTGGAACAGCAACTACGCTAATATTTCTCTATTTCCTTCTCTGTTTCTGCCACGGGATGTAACTAGGAATTACACAAGCTTCAGTCTGGATCCAGCCCTTACAAAGACCTGAGATGACCGAAAACCAGAGAAGAGATGAAGCCAACGCCTCAGAACTCCTCGGATGATGCCAACCCTCAGACAACATACAAAACTACCAAAGTTTGCTATAAGTTTGATCGCAACATATAACCATTGCTGTTAATAGTGTTCACCTTCTGTTTGATTACATGACATTAACTAATTGATTGATTTTTACCGTACATTTCTGCCATATGTACATCAATTTGACAAAGTCACCACTGATAAGCTATTACTAAATATAATGTAGAAACTTCAATTTTCTGTAAAGCTGCTTTGCAACAACTTGCATCGTGAAAAGCGTTATACAAATAAACTTGAATTTAATTGAATTAATCGCACATTTTTTTCTGAAATTAATCGTGATTAACCCCACCTAACATTAAAGCTTTTAAATATACTTTTATATTGCAATAATTTTACATTCTTCAATGTAAATAAATCTTCAATCTTCAAATTAATGTACAAACAACATAAAGACATTATATTTTTAATATTTGTTTAACAGCATCTGTTTTATGACTGAAGGCCAGTATCACTGATATCAATACTACTGATGTCTCTATAAAATTGTTTTTTTCTCCCTAATATTTAACCATTGAATATAGCCATTCAACATTACAGTATAATTGAGAGCTATCAATTTTAACATTTATTAGACTTTAAAACATAAGTTCTAATTTAAATGAACTTAAAACAATCTTCACATAAACCCATTATAATAAATGTCATATTTATACCTGTGCAATTAGGTTACTTTGCCTGCTATTGCTTTAAAGGGATAGTTCACCCAAAAATGAAAATTCTGTCATTAATTACTCACCCTCATGTTGTTCCAAACCCGTAAGACCTTTGTTCATCTTCGGAACACAAATTAAGATATTTTTGATTAAATCCGAGAGCTCTCAGGCCCTCCATAGACAGCAACACAACTGTAATGTTCCCAGCTCCAGAAACAAGGACATTGGTAAAATAGTCCATGTGACATCAGAGGTTCAACAGTAATTTTACGAAGCTACAATAATACTTTTTGTGTGCAAAGACAACAAAAATAACCACTTTATTCGACAATTCTTCTCCTCCTCATCCCGTCTGCCATTGTGGAAAGAGTATCGCGACACATGCGCTTGCTTCCGCTTCATGTAAGCGCATGGACTATTTTACCAATGTCCTTGCTATGTTTCTGGACCTGGGAACATTGTAGTTGCGTTGCAGTCTATGGATGATCAGAAAGTTCTCGGATTTAATCAAAAATATCTTAATTTGTGTTCTGAAGATGAACGAAGGTCTTACAGGTTTGGAATGACATGAGGGAGAGTAATTAATGACAGAATTTTCATTTTTGGGTGAACTAACACTTTAAGAGCTGCCGCTGCTGAAAGTGACGCGGATCTCACACGCATCGTATTTTCTCTCAACTCTCTTTACCTTTTCGGACCCACTTTGTCTCTATTAATGACTGAGGAGTTGATTCAGGTGTTCCAGGACAGTTCTGAAAACCATTTCAGAGACATGCTCTTAAATGTGACTCATATATAACATATTACATGCATGCACAGTTTTAAGGCAGCTTTTATCGCCTTTTTACTCGTGCAATTGATGAGCACGCACTGCGAGACCAGTACCGTTTCCACACTCGTTTGACTCGCGCCTGTCGCTGAAGTGAAGTTGGAGCGCGTCTGAAACGTCTCCCTTTTGATGTGGTCATAAAGACGTTCTGCGACTAAATAAACGCACTTCTTGTCAAGAAAAAAAAGAGACAGAGGCAGCAGTTGTGAGTGAAGTGGTCAACCCTAGCCCTGCCCCTGCGTTAACTGTGTTAAATATTTTTAACTCGTTAATCTAAAAAAATAATAAAAAGGGGTTATTTTAGGTTATTTATTTATTGTTTGTTTATTTACTGAAAGGTTCATTGTGAACCCAAAATGATTCTTCTATGACAGCGTATCCAATTCTTCTCCTGCAGGACCAGCGTCCTTCAGATTTTAACTCCAAATAGCTCCAACACACTTGCCTAGTACTTTCTAGTGAGTCTGAAGACCTTGATGAGCTGCTTCAGGTGTGTTTAATTGGGGTTGGAACTAAATTCTTCAGGACAGTGGCTCTCCAGGAACAGGTTTGGATACCTCATGTTCTGTGAAAAACCCCTTTTGGAAACTTTATTTTAGAGAGTGTAGTTTGACATAATTTTTAATGGCACAATCCAGACACTTGAATTGCCTGTTTAAAAGTAGAAAGGCTGCTCATCTACACTGCACCATGGATATACTGTTTATGCCTGGTTACATTCAATTCCATGATCTGGTAAATAACTGCTGCTATCATCACTGGACAATGTATTAAAATGTCTCTTTTTCAACATAATTCCATTCAACAGCGCTGAGTTTTGCAAATTCAGCTCATTATAAATTATAAATATATTTAAATAAGGCTATTTACATAAAAAAGGAGATGTTTTATGCTGGTGAATGACTCAATTTATAATACTCATGATTCAGCATTTTATCTGTGCAGTTAGTGCCATGTTAAACTAGATGCAGGTTCTTGGTCTGAAATATTATGCACAAAAGCAGATGAAGCATATTTATCCATTTATATTTATTCATTCATACATATCCATGAGCTACACAAAAGTTTGGGGTCTGATAAGAATTTTCCAAGGCTGCATTTATTTGATCGAAAATACAGTAAAAACTAATATTGTAAAATTGTATTACAATTTAAAATAACTCATTTCTATTTTAACATATTTTCATCAGTGACACATGATTCTACAGATACCATAATATGCTAATTTTATGCTCAGGAAAAAGTTCTTATTATCAAAGTGGAATGCTGCTTAACGTTTTGTGGAAATCGTGATAATTGTTTTTCAAGATTATTTGATGAATAGAAAGTTCAAAATAGGACCATCTTTTGTAACATATATTACTTCTTTCCTTACACTTTTGATCAATTGAATGGGTTCTTGCTGCATACACTGAAAATAATTATTCATTTAATTTACTAACATTTTTTAAGGTAAGTGGTTGCAATCAATTTATTTTAGCTACATTTAAATAAACAAATTTAGTTGACTGACTTTTCAACTTTTTTTTATTAAATGTAGCTAAAATAAATTCTTTACAACCACTTACCTTAAAGTGGTCAGTGTACAGTAGAAACATCAATTTCTTTAAAAAAAAAATTCTGAACCCAAAATCTTTGAATGGTAGTTCAAACACATTACATGGTAGGTCTACACTTAATTAGGGTTAATCATGCTTTATTTGGCCCAGTAAAATGACAAATGTGGTAAATCCCAGAACTGAATATTAATGCTCATTGCTCACCTAAAACTGCAACTGTTTCGCAACCAAGTTAGTGCTTATTCATGTTTGTATTCTGAGTGTAGTTTTTTTTTTCCCTGCAAAAATGCTTTGATCAGTTTTGACATTGCCATCTTTCCACTACAAGATTCACAGTGTGAGAGGAAAGAAAACACATGGGAATAGACGCCTTCTGCTGCCAAGCTAATGGTGAGTAAAGTATCTCATTCATATTTCAAACGTGTTTGTGTGTTAAGCCTTCCTCTTGTTGTTTTGTTTTCTAACTGCTGATCCGCCTGTTGCCTTTGGCTATATTCATTCTCTATGACACAATCTATGACACAATTTAAAAAATATATATTCTCTGCATCCCAATGGGCTCTTCTAACACTTACTAGCGTAATAACCTGAACACTTTGCAGTGCCTTCTTTAGTTTTAAGGTATAAAAGGAATAAATCAAAGAATAAACTAATAGTCCTGATATGTGAAAATCAATACTTGCACATCTTGAAATATAGAATAAATTAAGCCATTTTGGATACAATCCAGCACTACAACAAAGACTTTTCTCAGAGTTGGAGACAGTGCTTACCTGGCTCCCAGGCAAATGTCTTTGACGTCTCATCGCAGAAAATAATTGCCACTGCGTGTTTCTTGGTCTCTCGTGGCATTCGAGTAATGTTCTTAATGTTGTGGAGCTCAGTTATCTGCGGAAGAAGACGACAAAACTCATTACCAAAATTAACAAACTCAAGAGGAGGAGGAGACGAAGAAAGGAGGATGACACTAAGGTAATGTAGTTACTGTTATCTGAAAATGAAATGATTTGAAATTACTGCAGTGCCTCGCTTTAGGGAGAAATGGAGATGAGAGTTAACGCTGACTGTCTCTATTGTCACACTAATGACAAACACCAAAGAACAGTTGGGCACTGGAAACTTAAAATAAATCTTAATACTCATATTTTGTGTACAGTTTGGTATGTTTTTACACTGATAATTATACATTTTTCTTTACCCAGTACTTTGTTATCCTTAAATGATTTAGTAATGGTTCTCAACCAGGGGTCCGGAAAGGTCCAGGGGGGTCTCAAAATTATGTAAAATAGGACAAAACAAAGAGTCAAATACACCAAACAACTAAAAATGAAGATGTTTCATAATTTAATTCACCCCCTCAACAACTGTTTTTTTTTCTATGAAAAACCAGGAAGATTTTTTTTTTTAAAGTGTGATTTCTAGACTTCTAGAAAGGTCATGTAAATTAATAACAATCTTCTAACTTCATGGGCATTGTTATAATTAATATACATTTTTCTAAGTATGCCAAACTCTAAATTAATTTATCAGGTAGAAATTGTGTAAGTAAAAAATATTTTGGACACTTTAGTTTGGGGACCAATTCTCACTATTAACTACGACTTCTGCCTCAATAAACTCCTAATTTGCTGCTTAATAATAGTTAGTAAGGTAGTTGTTAAAGGAATAGTTCACCCAAAAATGAAAATTCTGTCATTAATCACTCACCCTCATGTCGTTCTAAACCTGTAAGCCATCTTCATTCATCTTCGGAGCTCAAATTAAGATATTTTTGATGAAATCCGAGAGCTTTCTGACCCTGACAAAAGGTATTCTCGTAGCTTCATAACATTATGGTCGAACCACTGATGTCACTATTTTAACGATGTCCTTACTAACTTTCTGTTAGATGAATGAAGGTCTTGCGGGTTTGGGACGACATGAGGGTGAGTAATTAATGACAGAATTTTCATTTTTGGGTGAACTATACCTTTAAGTTTAGGTATTGGGTAGGGTTCAGGGATCTAAAATATGGTCATGCAGAATAAGACATTAATATTTGCTTTTTAAGTAATAAGCAAGCATAGGTAATAGCAAGAATTGGTCATTAATCCTTATCCAATCAATCACAAAAAAATGTAAAAATCATGAGGCCTTAGATTATTGCTGAAAACAGTAGGAGTTGGAGTTAAAAAGGGTTGAGAACCACTGATTTAGAGAGGAAAAAAGTCATATAAAAATGTGTTTTTTTTTTTACCAGTTTTACTTGCAAATCATTTCATCCAGTACGGGATAATGGGATAATTATGGATATGACTAAGCTGTCACCATACTGCAATTAGAATGAATGAACGTTGATATTGTTTTGTGATTACATGCGCTTTAATAAATTAAGCTAGAAGGGACGTGAATTTAAATAAGATATTTTCATCCATGATTCAAAATGTTTCCACAGCCGTGACAAACAACATTACCTCAGAGAAAAGCAAACTGCTTACTGACAGTACAAAAATAAGCATGGTCTATATTTAAAGGACTCTTCAGGTACATTTCACTTCATCTTCTAGAGTCACACAATGTTTCACAAAGTTTACCAACACTTCTTCGAGCTCTGTTAAAATAGTTAAAATGCAGTCGAGACAAGAAATAGTACACTTCACCTCTCAGTCTTGCCGATGGCATTTCTTGGTTTGAGATGCATGATTTGCCAGTGGCAACAGGGAGGAGGTGTTTGCCTTTGAATGCGTTTGTGTTGTGCTGAGGGTGGGTTCAAGGATTATGAATCTGATGAAGGCTTTGCTCAAGGCTTTGAAAGAACTTCTCCAGCTCGGGTGTGTCATAGTGAATGGATGACGCATTGATGGGTGTGAGGAAGCATCTTCTGAAAACTTCTCAGCTGTCAGCAATGTGCTAGTCTCACATAGCCAGACCTTTGACTAGACATCAAACAGTCTGGCCCATACTGCAGTTTATTCTGGCCAGGAAGTCAGTCCATGGGCATGACGTCTGAAGCTGAGACTAGCAATGTACGGTCTAAAAGAACATTTAAGAAGCTGTTTTTTTTTTATTGTTAAGTAAAACTATTAAAAAATAGTTTTTTTTAGTAATTGAAACAAAGTTGGAAAAAAAAAATACAAATATTGGATGAAAAGCTTAAAAAACATTAACTTAAACTTATGAATTTCAGGCAACATTTCAATTTTTTGAAGTACTTAAATTGCAAAAACTAAAACGGAAATAAAAATAAAGCTAAATGTAAAATTGAAAAAAAAAAAAAAACGACGAAAATGACAAAAGCACATAAATTACTAAAACTTTAACTAAATGTAAAATGAAAACTGAAAATACACTGCTCAAAAAAATTAAAGGAACACTTTTTAATCAGAGTATAGCATCAAGTCAGTCAAACAGACACGCTTTCGCAGCTGGAATCGGGACCTCTCAGCTCGGCTGACCTGCTTCTCCGCCGCTCCAGCGACGCAGCAGTTCCGGTCCGGTTCCGCTGCCACCATCCGGCGACTCCTAAAAGAGCTTCTAAAAGAGCATCGGCGTTGTTGCAAATGCCACGTTGTTATTGCGGTTTGTGCGGGTCCCCCCTGCACGCCGATGATGGCCACACGGAGTGTGTTTCCTGCTTGGGGAAATCCCATGCGGAAGCTGCGCTCACAGGTGCTAATTGCTCTCATTGCGAGAGCTTCAGTCTCGCCTCTCTCCACTCACGGATTGCTTTCTTTTCAGAGAGCGACTCCGCCCCCCGCGCCCTCCCGTTTCCTTCCTCCCAGGGACCTGTGAGGAAAAAACAGCGGGGCAAAGGGGTCTGGCGATCGGCTACGAGCAAGCTCACGCCGGCCCAGATCCCGCGTGCCTCGCTCTCGCCGCAGAGAGAGTATACCCCCGTCCTTTTCTCCCGGTCTGAACAGCGTCCCTCTGCTGGTGCGAGCGACCTGATCTCATTCGGGGGAAGTGAAGACGAGCTGCTGGATGACAGCATGTCATTAGCAGCGACGGATGCAGAGGAGCTGTTGGGCTCGGTGAATAACCCCACCCCCTCGCCATCATAAGCGCCCAGTGCCACTAAAGACGGGATGGATGCCGAGCTTCTCCATATCCTCTCCAAAGCGGTCGAAGAGCTGGGTTTAGAGTGGTCCCCGCCAGAGGAGCCCTCTCGCAGCCGTCTGGATGAATGG